TTATGACCTCAGGCTTGGCTAGAAACCGGTTTGTTTGATCCCCTGAATATGAATATCGTACCCACTTGCCTTCGAAAAGCCTGGCACCTGTACTAAGAGCATCATGGGCACTCAACGGCAATTGGCGCTCAAATTGAAAGGGATCTGTTTGCAAGCTCATAGGTGAGCTGCAGACAACCATTAATAAATAAAACATGTCCAAAAAGGCTTTTTAACCTTGTTGAAAAAAAGCAAAACACGAGAAGCAAGATCGCTTCCTGCTGCGTCACCGAACCCCACAACGTTGGATCTTCGTGACGATGATTGAGACGACATAGGATTGCCTACAGGACTGTGAAAAGGGACCGTCTAGGAAAGCCTCCGTAGCTCCTTTTGATGAAGGGTTTAGCAGATTCCGAAAGCGGATTTGAGCTCAGCCTCTCATGGTGCGTATAGAAATGAATATTTCATTTGTTCTGTCCAAGTTGCCCTAATGACCTTTCTTGGTTAGCAGAACCCGTTCTAACTCATACATTGTTTCAAGAGTTTGCACTGTAATTTTACCGTTGGCTTTCCTTTCTCTTGCTTACCCTTTTAAGGTTCCATGCTACTCTCTACCACCTACGCTGGCGGAATTACGAGCCGGAAGTGTTCTAATACAATAAATAAGGAGTGGTGTGCTGTAAGGTGATTTTCGTTCATGCATGTCGCCTTCCTTATACTTTCCTGATAGCGACTTTTTTCAGTTACTTTGCGTCAGGTAACACCGCTAACTTTGGCTGCGCAAACGAATTCGCAATACCGTTTGGCTCGATGACTTGCGGTGATGGGCCTGGTTTCATTAACACCCAAGGCTGCTCTATGGTGATTCCTAACATTTTAAAGGACGAATTCACGCTGGAAAGGCAACCCATTTCAAATTAAAGGGATGGTGAGTGGTACACGAAAGAAGGAAAAACCATGAGAAACGGCCCAGAACCCGAGAAATGGGACCCCTTCCTTGCCCGTTGATTTGAGCATTGATGCGACTCTCATCGCTGTGCCCTCTTCAACACTACGCTCTCTCAGCTATCTAATCACTCGCCACGTATAGACCTGCGGCGAGTGATCAGATGATCGGTGGGCGTGCACTGGCCCACCGCGCCAAGATTGAGCCTTAATAGGTCGCCGAGGTCAACTCCTTCGGTGCCAATTGCGCTTCAGTCCGCACCCTCGGGTCCCTCAACTAGGTGAATTACTCCTTCTTCGACCTTCATTCTAATCGTGAATTCGTCCTTTAATTATGAGCTACATAATGCTGTCTTGTGATACTGCTTGCGCTGAGGCTAATGCCATCATTTCAGGCCAATACACCTTCGGGGCCGTGCTACTTTTGCTGTTGTCGGGGAGGCTCGTGCAATCATCCAGCTGTGTTTGCCCGAGAAGTTTCACGCCTTATTACTTTTCCTCAGGGGCTGCAACAAGTGTTCTTCGATGGAGCCATTCCTTATCGATTTTCGTTATCGTCTTATTTATTACTTTGTTAATTTCGCTGTATTTATGAACTCTTTTCGTGTTGCGTTTTCTATAATAACATTTTTATAATACATTTGGTGCCGAAGTTCAAGGGAGTGCTGCCGGCTATTGCTTCAGTAGTTATAACTCTTTCGCTTTCTTCGTGGTGGATATGTAGGTGAAGACCTTAAGCTGGTGTCAGAGTCCGCGATCCGTCGCAGGTTTCGCTGATTTTCGCGATTTGCGCGATTTGCGCGATTCACGCGATTCACGCGACGGTCACGGAAATCACAAGTGCAAGGTGTTCTCCAATCCTGCCGCCACTTCTGCTTGATAGTGATGGCTGAATGACGACTGCTCATGATTCCACTTGTTTCATATTCAGTGTTTCAAATGTTCAAATGGGGCACTTGCAATTTTTGCGATCCGTCGCAGGTTTCGCGCAAATCGCGAAATCGCGCAAATCGCGTGAATCGCGCAAATCGCGCAAATCGCGAAAATCAGCGGAACCTGCGACGGATCGCGAACTCTGACACCAGCCTTAGGTGAATTTGTTCACTGGAAATAAGCTATGAACCTTTTCATGGTCTCGTCTAATACAGTTATAGGTTTTCACGCACCTTTCTTTAAACCCGAGGCCACGTAATATTCCAGTGGAATAGTCGTGACGAAGCATATTACTTACAAGGAGAGTCTTTCAAGACATGGAGCGCTTTTAAAAAATAATTTTTTGCACTTTATAGAGACATGCTCAGGGAGCATAAAACTGAGAATGATTTTTTCTGAGCGGCTCTCGGAATGCCAAAAAACATGTGGAAACCAGGGCTTCTGGTTCGGTCCCCACCGGTGACAGATTTTTGCATTTCTCTTTTTGCATTTCTCTCTTTTTGCATTTTCCACTTTCTTCGGCTCATATCGTATGTCTGAACTTATTCATTGAACAAAAAAGCAACTTCCATTATGCTACTGTTCAACGCTGTAGAGTTGTTCTTCAATTGCTTTTTGAAATGAAACTCTTCCAAATCTTTTATGCGACGACGTTTCGGGCCTTAAGCCCTTCCTCAGGTCTACAAATACAAAGGTGCTAAGTTAACATCAACAATCGATCTAGATGTGACCAATATAATACATTGGAAAACGAAAAAGACTTAACAACTGACCAACTTAGAAAAATTTTTGGGTTAGGGGCGGGTTGGTCGCGGGAGCTGTAGAGTTGATGGAAAATGTAAAAATTCCACTTCCTGAAAAAAGCTTTCTGTCCTTTTCCTGGCAATCCCAGGGCCGCTCAGAGAAAAATGATCGTCGGTTTCATGCTCCACGCACGTACCCTCTACAACATGCAAGAAACC